CTGTAACTGATTCTGCAATTTTAAACCATGAGTGAAGAGAACAGTTCAGTTTGAACTGTAAGCACCACCCCTAATCTCCCATTGAGAAACCTTCCTCCCACTCTCCGTGCAGGTAATAAAGCGCACATCTTGTAATGAAAGTAATGAAAAGGCACCTGTCTAGAAGGACTACAGGCAGTCAGAGTCCAGATTTAGTCCTGCAAACAATCTACATAGGCTGGTCAGAGATTTACACAGGTTTTGTTCAGCCTTTGGTCATTCTTGCCTTTAAACGCTCTCACCTTCCCCCATTTATACCCATTTAGGCTGCTTTGCTGTATATGCAATGAGAGCATCGCAACTTTCCCCTTGTTTGCTACCAAGCTTCTCGGTTTAAAAGTTGTGACGTGGAAACTCTACAGAAGGAACCCCATCAGCAGAGAAAACCATTACGTTAGAGTTAGAATCCACAATAAATTGGCAGGGACTCCTGCATATCAATGAGTAATACGTTTTAATAAAATGACTCCTTCTGCAACAAACTATACCATGTAAAAAGCATTTTGTTAGAGAGATTTAAAAAAAATCGTAGGCATGGTTTGAATGGGAGACAACAAAGGAAGACACTATTTCTGAAGCCAATCAGGAATTTGCCACACTACGTGTTGACGAGTCACAAAGCTTCTGTTCCATAGTTAGATGAGACAAAAATGAGCTTTTTGTCAAGACACATCAGCTCTATGTTGACCGACTCCAGAGAGAAATTTGCTGCCCAGAGTCAAAAAGCTTGGTCTCAGCTGCAGGTCATGGGTCTTTGACAGGATAATGACCCGAACACACAGCTAGAAAAACGATGTGGCTTGTCAACACGTAATTTAGCTGTGACCTAAATCCTATTGAGGAATCCTGGAAGGAGCTGAAACAGGCCAGCTCGAAAAGGCAGCCTTCACACCTTGGACAACAGAAGCAGTTTGCTGATGAGGACTTCAGACAAAACACGAGCTGAGAGCAGCAGAAGTCTGTTGCAGGAATTGATTAATTGCAGTGATTGACCCTTAATGTTGGACAATCAAATATTAAGTTCATTTAATCCAGGCCTGGTTCATTATTATTATTTTTTTATTATTCTGCTAAGGTATGTTTTAAAAGCAATTTCTGACTTTTATTTGTTCATATTCATAAAATTCTTATTTATAATTTCTGAATACTTTATTTATAATTTCTTTGTAACAAAATACATATCTGGGGCCACGGTGGATTTTTTTTATTAAACAAATGGGTACAACCAATTCTGTCCATGGGTGTAATATAAGATCGTATTGACCTAATATAAAGCAGTTTGGTGAGTACCAATTCTACAACAAATTTTAGTTGAGATTGTCAGTTTGGTAGCTAAATGAATAATTGGAACTTCTCTGATGTAGGATTAAACCTAAAGGGATAATTTGGTCTTTTTAGAAGTAACTGCATGACTTCTCCATCTGCTGGTCTAAAGTGATTTCTATCAGATTTGCAAACACTGACTGTTTCATTTTACACCAGTGAAGTGTTGCTGGTTGCTTTTTGAGGCACTAAACCTGGAAGTTACAGATCAACCCCCCCTAGTGGCTAAAGTTACACAGTGTACACAGAGACTCAGTTATAGTTATTTCAGTATTCGATAAGGGGCCTGTCGCACCTTGCCGATTTAGACAGCGTATGCCCGACTTCCCAAAATCTCCTAAAACGCTGGCATACGCCAGTTAAAGCTACGCCCCTCAGTTACAACGCTGCTCCAGAAGGGGGCAGCGATACGCCCGGAGGCACCCGGTTTGCATAAAAAAACTAAAAAGAAAACTAAAAAACTAAAAGAAAGAAGGTTTGCAGTCGCAGCAGATTCAGCATCATGTCTGCTAGGAAGTTTGTAGGTGGTGGGCGTGAACGCAGGGAGGATCCATCACCCTCACCTTCTGGATCACCCTATGATGGGGATGAAGTCTGGAGGAGAACTGACGGTTTCCTCCTGTGAACCCCCTTTATACCAAAACGCTGCAAATACACCATAAAACAGTAGCTGGAAGTTAGAAACACATTCAGCGCCCGTCTGGAACACGTCAGATACGCTGATATGCGTTGGAAAGAAGTTCTTGATAAATTACGCAAAAGTTATGTACATGTTACTAATAGGTTTAGGATAAACTAGACACGACAACTTATGAGTAACTTACACTTAAGGTATGTCAACGATCAGATAACTTACCTGTAACTTATGGCCAACGTATGGCATACGTCGGGAAATTTTGAGCATGCTCAAACCTACGCCTGCATACTCGCCGTATGTCGATATGTACCAGCGTGTTTCAGCGTGCTCATAACTTATACAAAACGTACCCATAACTTATCCAAAGTATGCCAAAGTTTCTGCCAGATTTTTCATACGAAAGGCATACGCTGGTCTAAATCATCAAGGTGTGACAGGGGCTTCAATCATGAACAATCTGATTAATCTGTTCAGTTGTTTCAGCCCTACTGCAAACCATAACTAGTTCTCTCTCTGCAGGTTAAAGAATGCTGCTAAATGATGTGTGCATACTGTGAATATTGAGGCTGCTTAGAATTAGAAAACATGCAGTTGGAAATCAGTTTGTATTAATCCCACATTTTTCTACCAATTTCAATTAATTATTATCTCATTATGTTTTCTCATGGCTACAGCTTAATATTTGATTGAACTTACCCTGATCCAGATCTGTAATCTCTCTGTTTGTTAAGAGCTGCTTGTCATCTTGATGGATCAAGAAAGAAAAGGAAACAAAGAAAAATGTAGTTTTGCAGCAAAAAAGAGATGTGAGAGAAAAGAAAAAAAAATACTGATGCTATTTTTGCACAGATAACAACATGCAATTCAATTATGTCATAAAATTCCCAACTTCTAAACTCAGATCAACCTTTCTGAAAATGAAATTTCAGCTAATAACTAATCCCGTCTTTAGCTTTGATTTATGCTACATTTTTCATTTTCAAAGGGCCAGTCACCCAGACAGACACACACAGTCCACAAAACTTCACAATCATAATGAGAAAGTGAGTAAAATGCAGACTTAAGACTTTAGTGTGGTAAAAGATCATATCATCAAATAAACCACTATAGAATGTTATAGGCTTGGAAAAAACAATGTAATAGCTGATATTTGCAGCTATAATGTGAAACTATAGCAACAGCTGCTTCCTTTCTGCACAGGGTTTCAAAGTACATTAGCCGAAGCAGATAATGATTACCTGGAAAATCTATTTCTTGGCTTTTATTCCATGTTCTATTCACACGCTATCTTTACAACCTGAAATGGGCTCACTTCAATTTACCGTATTCATACAAAATAAACCATAAAAATATTCACTAATCACTTTGAAATGAGTTAATGTCCCAGTTAAGTACTTTGGAGAACCAAAATAGACATAATCAAAAAATAAAAGCAGAAATATATACATTGTATACATTTTCCGTTTTTATCAAGAAATGTATATATTTTGTTTTTCCTTTTCCTTACATAAACCTTTTAAATTTCCTCCTCTCCTCTTTTTTCTTTACACTATCCCGTTCTGCCTCACATTTTTCTGTAATTGGCTTTTTCCATTGCCTGTTTTTCCTCCCTGTGCAGCAGGAACAGTAAAAACAGAGGGGACGTGCTTGTCTCCTATTGGTCAGTAGCAGCTGGTGGCTGCCTCGCTATAGAGGAGCTAAGAGCAATGGCTACCTTCCATCCTGTTCTTCATTGGAGAGCAGCAGCAGATTAGTATTGTTTGGCAGCAGGCAGTGCAATTAGTGGGATACTTGACTGCTTTTTGCTGACCAACAAATATAGGAACTTTATACTAGATACATATTTCTGCTTTTAATATTTAATTATGTCAGGGTTGGTCTTCCATACTGAACCACATCTCTCATCTGCTGTCATCATTTCAAACATTTTGCTTTCACCCCTTGTAAACTTAGCCAGGAAGAAAAGCTACTAAACACACATGGAAAAAGGGTCAGTAAGTGATTGTGAAATATTTGGGAAAAAAAGAAAACAAGAAGAAAAAGCCAAGTTTTAGTTTGTTACTGCTCTAAGCATATTGTTAATTCAAAAAAGTTGAACCGTCAGTAAGGATTGTTCCTTTACCTCAACTTAGAACAACGAAGCAGCAGAAGCATCAACAAACCACAGCAAAATCACTTTTAAAAGGAACTAAATTGAAGAGGATTATTTTATATGAGTTAGGATTATTCTTAGTAATGAATGAATAAACCCTAATATTACCTGCCTGTTGTTCAGTAGTTTACCTAATTGGGACAGTTAGAATAAAAAATCATCATAATTCTGTATGTGGCAAAGATTAGGGAATGGAATGGGAGCCGTGTCCTTGATCTAAAATCAAAGTGTAATATTTTGATAAAGCTGGAGCCTTGGATGTCTCCTCATCTGCAAACGATGTGATGATCTGGCACACTGAAGTTATATAAAATGGTTCTCGTGGCAACTTCAACGATATATGTGAGCCCAGTTGGTAAGCGCTGCCTTCTGTAACTCTAAGGCTACGTTGACACACAGCCTGAAGTTACCCCAAATCTGATTTTTTGCCAATATGCGACCTGTATCTGATCTTTTCAGGACAGTCAGAAAAAAATGTATCCAATTTTTTCAAGGCTATGGGGTCCTAATTCCGATAACAATCTGATATTTTAAAATGCAACCTGTGTCTGAAATGCAATGTGTCTGAATGTCATTAATATCTGACAAAGGTTACCATTCTGCAACTTGCTATGCAGAAGTGGGAAGAAAAACAACAACCATGGCGGACGATGATGCAGAGAGTAGTATTTATGTTTAACCGTCTTGAAAAGATTGTGTTTCTAAGGTTGGGAAAGATCACTAGATGTGCTCCAGCACCATCAACCATGTTTACTTCCGTAAACACAGAGCACGCCGGCTTGGGACGTCATTACGTCCTATACAGCACAAGCAGGACAATTAAGATGTATGATTGCAGTTCACATAGGAGATCACATAGAAGTCACATATATTTGGAAAAGTGAACGGCAACGCAAAGAAATCGGATTTGACAAAAAAATCGGAATTGAGAATTAAGGCCAGCAGTGTGAACGTAGCCTAAGCAACTTCTCTGATCTGACTAAGTTTACTATTTCTGTCCAGATCTGTTGTCATGTCTCATGGTAGATTAATACATATATATTATGAAATATTATTTAAAGAGTTTGTCCTGAGTTTTCTCTTCTCAGGAACAGAACCACCAAAGATTCACGTTGTAAACATGGAGCTTTCCATAACATTAAGGTTGAAGTTATACAGAGAACATCATCCAGGCATCATATCTGTATCTTTGCAACACATCAGAGAGCTCACTCAACATCATCAGATCTGCCAATATTCTAAAAAGGTAGAATGCTCTTCATACAGGCATCTGCAATCCAGCTTCACAAAACAAAAGTGGCTGTCTATCGAACCTTTCTCCGTATTGTAAGCTTTTAGATTAACTTACACCTTGCAAAACACAACTAGAACAGCAATTAAGTAAATCTAACATGTAGGAGCCAAACTTGAAGATAACAGACTCGAGTTAACATTCTAAAGTTTCCTCCAAACAGAAAAGTTTAACTGCATCACGGCTCTGAATGTCATCTATCAGGGGCTTCTGGTAAATTTGAAAAAAGCTAAGCTAGTAAAAAATAAAGAGTAAAAAACTCCACAGTCATCTCTTTTACACCTTTGTCTGGCCTAAAAATTTTCAAAACGGTAAATATATGTACTAAACAGTTTATTTTATTTTATTGCATTGCCATTAGAAAACTACAGATAAAAAAATTAAAGCTTAAATTCATAGTTTAAGCCAAGGATTAGACAGTACGGTACGTAGATGAGGTAAATTTCCATACCTGCATTGTTTCCCATTCCCATCATGGCGTGCATGTGACCTGGACTGACAGCAATGGGAACATTTGCCTCTGCTGGAATATGTTCAAAAAGTTCTTTGGAGCCTGTCTCCATACAGTTCATGAAGGGATTCGCATGTTTGCTGTCCATGTAATACATCATGTAGAAGTTGCACATTTCATCGCTGGAAGTACCACTGCAAAAAAAAAAGGAGACAATAATTAGAGATACAATCAACAATGATTGATGTTCATACCTCAAAGAAACTTTATAACTACATGAACGTTTTTTCTGAGTACAAATAGTTAAAGGTATGGTGGAGGATATGCGAAATCCAGGAATTTTTTAAAAGACCCTCCCGCTCCACTTTCCAAAAAAATTGCACATGTACAACCCGGTACCCGCTGTGTATNATTAAGGCCAGCAGTGTGAACGTAGCCTAAGCAACTTCTCTGATCTGACTAAGTTTACTATTTCTGTCCAGATCTGTTGTCATGTCTCATGGTAGATTAATACATATATATTATGAAATATTATTTAAAGAGTTTGTCCTGAGTTTTCTCTTCTCAGGAATAGAATAGAAGATTCACATTGTAAACATGGAGCTTTCCATAACATTAAGGTTGAAGTTATACAGAGAACATCATCCAGGCATCATATCTGTATCTTTGCAACACATCAGAGAGCTCACTCAACATCATCAGATCTGCCAATATTCTAAAAAGGTAGAATGCTCTTCATACAGGCATCTGCAATCCAGCTTCACAAAACAAAAGTGGCTGTCTATCGAACCTTTCTCCGTATTGTAAGCTTTTAGATTAACTTACACCTTGCAAAACACAACTAGAACAGCAATTAAGTAAATCTAACATGTAGGAGCCAAACTTGAAGATAACAGACTCGAGTTAACATTCTAAAGTTTCCTCCAAACAGAAAAGTTTAACTGCATCACGGCTCTGAATGTCATCTATCAGGGGCTTCTGGTAAATTTGAAAAAAGCTAAGCTAGTAAAAAATAAAGAGTAAAAAACTCCACAGTCATCTCTTTTACACCTTTGTCTGGCCTAAAAATTTTCAAAACGGTAAATATATGTACTAAACAGTTTATTTTATTTTATTGCATTGCCATTAGAAAACTACAGATAAAAAAATTAAAGCTTAAATTCATAGTTTAAGCCAAGGATTAGACAGTACGGTACGTAGATGAGGTAAATTTCCATACCTGCATTGTTTCCCATTCCCATCATGGCGTGCATGTGACCTGGACTGACAGCAATGGGAACATTTGCCTCTGCTGGAATATGTTCAAAAAGTTCTTTGGAGCCTGTCTCCATACAGTTCATGAAGGGATTCGCATGTTTGCTGTCCATGTAATACATCATGTAGAAGTTGCACATTTCATCGCTGGAAGTACCACTGCAAAAAAAAAAGGAGACAATAATTAGAGATACAATCAACAATGATTGATGTTCATACCTCAAAGAAACTTTATAACTACATGAACGTTTTTTCTGAGTACAAATAGTTAAAGGTATGGTGGAGGATATGCGAAATCCAGGAATTTTTTAAAAGACCCTCCCGCTCCACTTTCCAAAAAAATTGCACATGTACAACCCGGTACCCGCTGTGTATGAAACACCTGCAAGAGTATGCAGGAGCCCATTTGTCCTCGTGCACGTTCGGTTTTAAAGTTCCTGTTCACATCGCTCACACAAGCTTAATTTCCAAAAGAAGATTTGCATTTTTTTCACTATGTCAGACTCAGTGAAAATGGGGACAAACAGTGGTGTCAAAAGTACACATTTGTTACTTAAGTAAAGGTATAGATACTGCAGTTTAAAAACGCAATTGAAGTATCAACTGTACTTCATTTGTCAATTAAAAGTGAAAAAGTTTGTGCTCCAAAAACTACTTAAAGTATAAAAGTATAAAGTAACCTTTAAAAAAACAGCCAGATGCCACTATATGAACAGAAAGCTCCATTTTACAACTATTTCTATAAATTCTCTGAGATAGGGCCAAAGATGAGGGATGTCTTGTTAGTCTCCGTCTCCCGATACGCTCTCGCCTGTGTCCGACCTTTCAGACATTTCAACATCTTTTTCTGTATCCTACATTGTAGCATGGCATAGCCAATTCACTTTAGCAGTTTGAAGAACAACTGCTTGCTTCTGATGATTTCCTTTAGCTAACCAATGAGTGTTTGCGTTTTATGACTCATCCAATTACACTAGTTTCCACTATATATAGATGGCTCTGCTATGAATGGCGCACATGACGTGAAATAATTACTTATAAACATTAATCCAGCAGGTAACCAATTAAAAATCTGTGCAGTCTGAATAAAGACAATCATCAACCAGTAAATATCCAGAGACATTTTTAATGATCTGTTATTTTAAACAGAATTTAACACTGAAATAAAATGGGGTGTTCATGCATTCATGTTATACATTTAATTTTTTTATAAAAAAAACAGAAATTGCCGAAAATTGCATCCCGTGCTATCTCAGATGAGTTGACACTGTATTCCTGTATATCCATGCCTGTAAAACAATGACAGCGTAATTGTCGCTTTATGATCTGAAGCCTCATTTGGAGCTTTTAAACAGGATTTTGAAAAACTTTGATTATTTCCTGCTGTAATATTATAGATTTAGAATTCAGAATAGAAAGCTAGCAGATGTGCATACTCAAAAAAAAAAAAAAGTATTGTATTGTGAGAAAGCCCACAATGTTTCTGAATAAATACATTATTGTATGAGTTACGTTCTGTTCCGTTTATGTCTCTTTCCTTGTAAGTATGAGATGTCCCATACTCCTGAATGCACCATAGCTATTTGACGCTCGAGAATGCATCACACTGGTCTCTGACACTGGGCTGTGTAGATGCGCGTTCAATTTTCCGCTTTAGCCAAAGCTTTGCAGTTTCCAAACTCACGTCGGCTATACCCGTTTATTGTTGTGTGTCAATAACAAGAGACTACAACAAATAAATCAGCCGTACCTCGGACAAAATCTTTGGATTTAATGTTGTTCATAACAGCCGTACTTTTGTAAATTAATCTGCCAAATAACCACAATTTTTTTCCCCGCAAGAGGTATATTTAAACGTTTTTATATCATTAATATAACAACAAGTAGCTCCATTGGTCATATTTTAATCCGTTTTCCTCGCCGATTGTCGCAGCTGTACAGAGCGAAGCGCGCTCCCGCGACTGGGGATGCATGTCTCGGCAGGCATGCACTTTTCGGCATAACACCGGACACGGTCCTCTAATCAGTGACCTCTGCATTAAACCGAAGCCAAGAGTGACGAGTAACGTTTGTTTTAAAATGTAAGGAATAGAAAGTACAGATATTTGTGTCAAATGTAATGAGTAGAAGTCAGAAGTAGGAAGAAAAATAAGTAATGGAGTAACGTATAGATACCTAAAAAGTGTACTTAAGTACAGTAACGAAATATTTGTACTTTTTTACTTGACACCTCTGGGGACGAGCACATAGGACGGCCTTAAATAAACATATCACAAGAATGATTGACCATTAGGAGGACCAATTATTTTGATGGTCCATCCAAAAAAAGAACATCCTTTACTATAAATGTAAATAAAAAGCTTGGAAAAACTGTAAATAGCCTACCAACTCAAAAGATGATGAATCTAATACATATACACCAAAAATGTTAAATATGACCCTGTGAGCAAAAAAAATCTGGATGTGAATGAGAGCTGAAGTCATATTTATAGAGATTAATGTAATCAACAAAGCAGTCATAGAGTAAAATCAGGATTTGAAATAATAATAATGATATAATAATAATGTATATAATAATAAGGCTTATATACCCTAAAAGTTATGCTGCTATAGGCTTTGAATGCTGGAGGACATAGGGACAACTTTTCATCATTCAATCTTTATTCTCCCATTCTGCTGTATTTGCTCGTTAAATCTCTAACATTCTGCTCTCTCTGCTTTTTCTCATAGTAGCTTCATCTGGTCTGTTCCTGTTTGGCTGTGACTCCTTTCTGGAGAGAAATATAAACTGTGCTGCTGCCATCAACACCTTTGTTTCTAGATGTTGGAGTTTGGCCTGTTTTTCAGTGTAGTCCTGTTTCTCTGACTGTGACTGGCTGGATGTTCTCTCATACATCCTCTGACAATCAAGCTGGCCCAGAGTTCGGCTGGCTGGCTGTTTCTTTCCTGGACACAGGAAAGCCTGTGGAGCTGGTTGACAGTTGCCTTTTGTATCTTCTTCTTTTTCCATGTCTGTTTCTGTCTCTCTGAACCCCAGTAAGCCCTGGCAGATGGCCGCTCACACTGAGCCTGGTTCTGCTGGAGGTTTCTTCCTGTTTAAAGGGAGCTTTTCCTCTCCACTGTCCTGTCATGCATGCTTGGTGTGAGGGATTGCTTTCAAGACAATAAGTCGATGTAATCAACTGGTGTTCCTTAGATAGAAAACTTTGAACCAATCTGACTGTATGATCTGGTTGAATTGTCTCTGTAAAGTGCCTTGAGGCAACGTGTTGTGAATTGGCGCTATATAAATAAACAGAATTAAATTGAAGAGTCCACCGATCATTACTAAATAAGCAGCATTTTCATTTTATTTTAGTTCAATGTGTGTTTAGATTGGAGTCTATCAGAAAATCAGAAAGAATTTGCAATGACTGATGAAACTCACCCAATATATGTTTTGGAGGTTCGGCCCTCGCCAGTAAAAACACATCTAGCAGCTATGGTGTCACCATATCGCACAGTCACCTCCTTATTAGCAGGATAGAAAGCCTGGAATTAGAAACAAAACAAAACAATACATAAGTAAAGACACATTAAGTGTTCAGAAACCTAAATATTAGGGATGTCCTGACACAACTTCTCAATTTCCAATACGATACAGATATTGCAGCTTTGAGAAATAGCTGATACCGATATTGACCCAATATGATTTTAGCACAAATCATACCTTCTGGTGAGCACAACTTTCACTCCTCTCCATTTCTATAAAGCTGTTAGTTCCTTATTCCCTGTGGCTGAGCTTAGCTTTGCAATCCACTGGTTGATGGTTCTTTCTTCAAATGCCACTTCAACATGACAGAGCACTAAGGACTGCATTTGGACACCACTGTTTTAGAGATTTGCATTACAAAATTTGAGAAACTCAGAGCAGATATTATTTGAAGTTTATTATTTTATAAAGGCGTTAGTTGCTGCCATTAGGCCAAGTTGTTCAGAAGGATGGGTTCTCGAGTTAGAGTTGTAGTTTCTTTGTGGTAATAGATTCAAACTTAAACTGAAGTAAGACCCTACTGTTTTCTTTTGGTTTGTTTTTAAATAAAAAATAATAATTGTTAAGACGCATAAAGACAACATTTTCCAGGTTCCACTTTATTTCCCCCTCGCTCCTCACACACCGCTAGCAAGCAATCTATGCCAACAACAGAACCAAACCTCGCCATTTCCCCCCTCCCTCCCAGAGGAGGTTAACGATAACTGTCATTTTTATGCAAGGTTTTTACAAGTGCTGTAGAATCTGAAGCATAGTTTTTCCACATTTCAATACATCAGGTGGTCTTTGAAAGTTACAAGGTACTTTAAAATCACTATTATAATTATACTGGAATGTGATATTAGAAGAATTTATTTGTATTTTTGAATACTTAAAGGTGCAGTACAAGATCTTTTCTAACGCATTTTTTTTACCATGTGGCTTAAAGATCTCCCCACAGCCGCTTACTGTAGCAAGCAGTGAAATAGAAGGTCTGGAAGAGAAACTAAAATAAATGGTCCCTGCTGCAATCAGAAATCAATGAATAACCCCCAACCACTCATAAAAGACGGTCCATTGTACAGGATTGGTTCCTGACACATCAAGCATGGTCATCTGCTTGTCCCTCCTCCCTGTGCGCATACTCTGACACATGAACGAATCGACCCCCCAATGCTTGTGCAGGAAGCCATGGCTGGAAGCTAGCCCCTGTAATGCTGGGGCCATGGACTGGACCGGACCAGCGGCCAGTTAGGCAGGCAGGGGGAAGCACGGGGCCACCAATGTCCAGGCTACCGTTACCGGGTCGGGTTCGTCGCTCTGTCCCCAGCCCCGGAGTTCACGGCTCAGTTCTGCTGCGCTGTATTCGACCAAAATCCCGGACGACTTTGAAATCCTCCCCGGACATTTTTTTTAGATATGAAAAGTAGGACATGGTCACCCTATTCACACCTCAGGCAGCAAAAATGCGCATGCTGCTTCATTTCTGATGCTTGTACAAGTTTAGTTCTGATGCGCAGCTGAAGCATCTTTGCTGCTCTGTGGAAAAAGTGGGTCTGATGGGCGTTGGGCGGAGCTACCCTATCCTTTCTGGATGACTGAGAATCTTCATCAGCATACCCTATCCTTTCTTTGTCTGGAACAATGGCAGCCATATCTGCTGTGATCAGTGGGTAAAAAGTAGCTTGAATCTATTTTAACGTAAGAAAGTTCACATGAAAACATTGTCAGTGCAGTCAGTTCATCAAAATTACAAATCCTGCCTTCAAAAAAATATTTCTGTCGGAGACCCCCGTAAACCCGCGGTGCGCCGTCACCAGGAATCCCATTCATAAGCAGCCTCTGGCCCAGTCGCCTCCTCGCGGTTTGCCACGGCGGCTGGAAGTGCTTTTTTATGTAAGTAATCCAAACTGCAGGCACCAGGATAACAAAAGCAAACATGTTTTGCCGGCAGATTTCGGCATTTTATTTGGAAGGCGTGGTTTAGAGGGGTGGTCTGAAGGGAGAGGCGTGGTTGTGTATGGTCAAAAATCTATCTTGCTGGAACCATTTTTCCAAGATCTCCTACAGCTCCTTTACATACTTTTAAATCCATGTACTTTTGAATACTTTTGCATTGAGTACTTACTGAAGTGAGTACTTAAACTTGAGTATATGTTTGACTAAGTACTTTACTTGTAGTTGAGTAAGATTTGACTACTAGAAACAGTACTTTTACTCAAGTACTACTGTTGAGTACTTCGTCCATTACTGCCTAATCGCAACTCAACAAAATAGCAGTTATGTGGAATTTATCTCAGTGTCCACTCACTGGTTACTCACCTGTGGTAACTGAGGGGACTGTCGTCCAATCAGGCTCCATTTTCCATCACGAACTCTATAACCACTGACTACTTTACCTGTGAGAGAAAATTCTATGAACATCTAATATGTTACACAAAGGAATGCTGAAAAAGTTAATTATTTGTAATACCTACCTAGGCTATGTGTGTGAGTCCTGAAGGCAAACGGGTAGAGTGGGTAGGAGTCATATTCACAAGCAACATCTGCATTTGTAACTAAAGGAAAAGAAAAAATTCAAAGTGTATTTTAAATAAATGCTTCATTTTTCACTTCTTAAAAAAAACTGGTGAGGTAGGCACTATCTAAATGTTTAAAATATGTGTTGGGATGGATCATGCACTGTTCTGCAGTCCATTAACGGCTTTGAATGCAGAAAAGAAAATCAGACTCAGGCTTTATATTAAACGTTATATGTTTTGTCCTGGATGGTATCTTTTGGCATAAAACTTAAAATTTAAAGCAAAAACCTAAGTAAATGGAAAACATTTAAGTTCTTCTTTTTTAAAGAACTTGCTCAAAGTGCAGTTAACAGTAACACAAAGTCACAGTTCC